GATTCTTACCAGTTCTCAATTTTAGCCATCATATACACACAAGCAATATCTGGTACTTACCTTCTCCAGCTTGGGATAGGTTTCAGCTGTCATATTTTATTTTAACTGTCATAATTGTGCTCAAATATGTACTGCTTGGTTGATGTGTATACACTGTATTTCCTCTTACCTCACTGTAAGACTATCAGACCATGCTTCCTCAGGACATTGCCTCCAGAATACGCAGGAGACAACTGCCAATGCCATGATGAGTTCTTCAAGCAGGCACCTCCTTACTAAAGCCAGAAGCCATCCAGTTAATAGAGAACTTGTGTATACACACTATTAGCTGGGTGTGTTTAGTATAAACACACTAGCACAATGGAACACTAATCCCTAGATGATACCCCTGAGTGTTAATAACCAAATAAGTAATTGGCTGATCACTACAATGCAGCTTTGACTTTTCCAGGAGCCTTTGAAGCACAATGCCTGCCTGCCAGTGCCCAGGTGGGATACACTGCTGCCTGGTGGAGGTTAGTGACTCTCCTCAGGATCGAATTCCAGAAAAGAGGAAGATTTCAATTGTACTGAGCTTGGAGATCTATTTTCTTTTTCCTGAACGAAGCTGCTGTTAAATCCAGAAGCATAAACACACACCCAGGATCCTGGATTTGATACTTGGGAAAATTCTGGATGCCCAGGTTATTAGGAAAGACACTGCAAGGTAACTTCCATTCCATAATAAAAGATGTAAGCAGGAGGGAGCACTCTAGCCAAACTAGGATAAATCTCTACTAGGATAAGTCTCTTTGAATGTAGCAAGCACACGAGCAGCTCTGTTCAACACCAGGGTTCTGGAATCGCATCTCCATCATGACTATAAGCTTGAGGGGAAAAGCTTTACTGGGGCTGATTCTACAAAGGCCCAAACGCAGAAGAAACTAAGTCATGGGTGCAGAAATGAACATGGGATGGAAGTCATACAACTGCTAATTCTAACAAGCTCCATCCATGTTGTACCTTAAGGAACCCAGGCAAAGTAGTTCTTTGCTTTTCTTCACTGTCAAGGTCCAGAATGGCCTTTTAGCTTGGTAAAATTTTACACCTCTCCAAAGACAAAATTCCTCAAAGGAACAAGAAGAACCTGACCCCATTCTAGGCTGAAATTGAACCTCCATGTTACGTCAGCATTGTTAGCTTTTAACTCCATAAGCAGCAGTACTGGAATGTCCAGTTTGCAAATTATGTACAGCCTCAATCCAGAGTAACTTGGTGATTGTCTCTTTAAGTTTTTAACCTGGGATAGCCCTTGTGCCTCAAAGAAAAGAAGCTCTCCTAATGCTGTTGTACAGATTAATAGATTAAGTCAGGTTGGAAGGGACCTCCATGTGTCTCTAGTCCACCTCCTCACTCAAAGACAGGACAGCTTCAACGTTAGAGCAAGTTTCTCAGGACCTCATCCAGCCAATTTCTGAAGATTCTCCAGAGATGGTGATCCTACAACCCTTCTGTGTATTACATTTCTTCCTCCTCCCTATGGGAGTTCAGAGATACATCCTTTTCCAGGAAGGACCTGTATTCCTGGGAATGCACAATTCCATTTTCACACTAGGAGGAAGTGGGATGAAGGACTTGAGGACTCACCTGTTGAGCAAGTGACACCCTGTTCTCAAGCAGCAGATGTGTGCTGGGATGCAGACACAGCCCATGGTGGCCTGAACAGCTGGTACCCCAACATCCTTTGGTGCATCGCTCTCTTAGTTTGGCATTTCTGTTCCTGCTGGGTTGTGCCTCAAGCGCACTGCTGCTGTTCCTGTTCACTCTGTTCACCCACTGCTTCAGGATACTTCGTCTTTCTCCTTGTATGCCTTTTGCAGAGGGGCTTTACCTCAACCCATCAAATCAGTTCAGCTCTCCATCTCACACCACACCAGTCTGCCTGAACTTGTGCCTTTTTTTTGGAAGAAGCTGGTAAAAATTGCCAGTTACCTTTTCAAGGTTTGACTTCAGTCAATTCAGACAAGCCTGTAGCTGCTCTGCTGAGCTCTTTGGTCCCCAAACCCAGGACCCTCTCTTCTACAAACAGAGGCTCACTGCTGCTATGACAAAGTGAAGTGATTCCAAACCCTGGTCATGCTTCGTACTACATCAACACAAAAAGCTAATCAAAGTAAAAAAAAAAAAAAAAAAACACAACCGATTTTAAGCAAATGTTTTACCTTAAATGTGACTATAAAGACAAGCTATAGCCACCACTGCTAGTGTGGTATCAGTGAAAAACTGGCAGCAATTTGTATTATTTACTCCAAGAGCAGAAATCCATTCTCTCTCACAAATAACTTTGAAAATAACCACCATTCAGCAGCCACAGCTGAATTAAAGGAGATGGGTAAGTTAGCCCTGTCCACAGCTTCTCTGGGTGGAAGGTTTCCAAATCAGCAAGGTAAATTTGGGAGCTCCTGTCCTTTTCTTTCTGGGACAGTCCAGAAGAAGCTTCAGAGGTCAGCAAGCACTCCAGAATGAAGCAACCCAAGGATCACCACACAGAAACCTTGCAGGAGTCCGCTTCACTCTGACTTTGCCTCCATCCCCAGTTGCCAACACCACTTTAGATGTTGCATACTTTTAAAGAAGGACAGATCATGCAGTGATCATTGTAAACCAGCTCAAGCTGAAGTCTTAGGAGCTGGATTCCTTTTTCCGTATGAATAGCCAGAAAAGCGAGTAAAATTCAGTTTTGCGTGATAAAAACAAAATACCCTTTCGTTAATTTGTTCTCTCTAGTTGTTTGCTTTTGCGTGGCTCAGTCCTGTGTCCTTACAAAACCCTTGCTCTTTATCTGTGTATTTGCAAGTATTTTTTCTGCAGTACTAAGATTGGAGATACAGCTCAATACAACCACAGCTCCTGCTGCAATGGTACTAGCTTGATTTTTCTTCTTCCAAAATCTCAGCAGTAACTGCTGCATGAGTTTTCCTCAGCAAACCTGGCACCGATAAAGGTCCCCTCCTGCGGCCTGCCACCGAGTGGCAGTGCTGCAAAACAGACGTGGATAGCAAAAGAAATTCCAGTCAGGCTCCAGCTTCCAGGAAACACTGCGGAAAACTTTCCTGATCTCCTGAACTAAGGATTTAAGAACGGTGACTCGAGATACTCTCACCAAGCCACGGTGCTTAGCTTTGGAAACAAAATAGGCCTGCAAGGCCAAAAAAAGGCCACTAAAGTGTCATTTTAATGGTGGCTTTGGAGGACAGCATTTCTAAATCACAGTATCTTAGGTCTATGCAATCACAAATGAACCTCAGCAAAAGAGCATGAGCTACTGTAAGAAAAACATGCAAACAGTGCTTACCCTTGTGTTCTGAGCTCTTCCCTCTATCACTGGGTGATGGGTTTAGAAACAGAATATTTAATAATAAAGGTTCTCATACTTTGTAAAAGTAGTTTGGAGACATTTTGTGCTGGCATGGTTTGAACTTTGTATTTTTACTTTGTATTTTCTTCTTTTTTGGCAAATAAAAGACTTTTGAATTTAAAGTCCAAGCCCTGCTCAGTGGTGGGGCAGTATTACTGTTCACTTCATCTCCAGCTACTGCCCAAAATTGCCTTCCTGGCTGTTGCTGCGCTCACACCATCCAGTTACCTGTCAGCAAGCCTGCCAAAGCCAAAATTCCAGGCTTGCTTCACAGAAATACTGGGGCAAAGCAGTGTGATCATTGTTAATAGTTAAGACCAAAGAAGCTGTGTTCACAACATTCTCAGTACCACTTTAAGTAATAGTGTGTACCTTTCAGAAGGAGTTTCATCAGCTGTGCCACATACTTGGAATTATTCTAACATACAAAGCCACTCTTCTTGCCATTTCACTTGTTAGATAGTTAGCAATAGAAGGAGTTTTTTAAATCAGTGTAATCTGTATAAACAATAACGTCAGGGAGGGGCTTCTTCCATCAAGTAAAAAGCAGCTTTTATTCTGGATCATGCCAGAATCCTTGCACAATTCATGTGCCACATCTGTATCATCTCTTCCTTGGAAATCTATCAGTGTTCCATTGAACACGCAGCTCCTTGCCCTGCCATAAGTACCTGTATGAATGAACTACAGGAAGAGCAGCAAGGTCAACACAATCCAAGTGTCATTTCCAGTTTTGTTCCCCCTTCCTCTGGGATTTAATCCCAACCAATGATTTCACTCATACATGATTATGTGGAAACAGCCTTTCCACCCAAAATGAAAACTTAGATGTCTACTCTTTCTTGAACAAGCATCTTCCACATGTACACATCAGGGTGGGCAAAAGCACCAGACTAATTTGGTACCACTACACATGACCCTAAGTCCAGAAGGAGTTCTGTTCTTCCCATCTTTGCAACAAACTTTCAGGCAGTTAGCCTCCCGGAGCAAAACATTTGATGAACCACTTTTCTTTTCTGATGCAGCGCTACAAACTACAGGATTTCCATAAAGTTTGGAAGTTAATCACCGTCTTCAAGCGGATTGGGAAGAAAGCTGAAACATCACACACTTCCTATATGAAAAGAATCCCCGCAGCAGCTTCCTCTTACACTAACGCTGAGAACGGTTCCCAGCTCCAGAGCCCGCAGGAGGAACACCTGCCAGCCCAGCCTAAACTGGAGCTAAAATGCCCCTTGACTGCTCTCCATGAGTGATCCCCAGCATACAGGCAGCAGGGGGCAAGTCCTTGCTGTGGGCTGCACTGGGCTGAGTTTCCACTCAACTCTTTGACCACAGCCGAGGCTGGAAGGTCCCACACAGTACTATTGCTATAAATCAGAAACTAAAGTTTTTCAGAGTAGAACCACTTCAATTATTTCCACCAACATTCTGATCCTTTCCCTTGCTCAGCTTATTCAAGAACAGTTAGCCAGGAGGTTAAGAAAACCAAACCAAGCCAACCCTAATTTAAACAATTACAGAATTAGTCATCAACGGACTAAGTGGTATTTAGACAGTAAGTTCAACATATGCCACACTGATGTCCTCAGCAGTTGCAAAATAGAATTAGAAAACTAACATTTATTAAATCAATTTGAATTTTAATATACATTTCAAGAACGTGGCAGCATAAAAGGAAATTGTTTTAGAAACAACCTGAATCTACCATTTGCAGTTTTACATTAACGATCAGGGCTCTCCTGTCCATGGTTCCAAAACACACTTGACCTAAATTCTCCAACTTTTGGTACCACATTTAATGCAGCAGTGAGATAGTAAAGATTCCAAGTTCTCCCACATTTCTGGAGCAAAGGTACTATGTATTTCATTTAATGAAAGTCCTAATAAATGTACCATCAACAATCTCAGCAAAACTTTAACAGCTCTGCAAAAGCATTCAGAAACAACCCACACTGTGCAGTTCACTCGCCTTAAATCAGACTCTGGTTCAGCTACTTTTCTTACACGTAGTGAACTAATAAACAGATTTACATTAGTAGGTCACCATCAAACCATCAAGTTAGAAAATGGCAGGATCCTTCTGGGTCAACACAAAAATCACATACAAGTTTAACTAAATACATTTTAATAGGACATTGTTAAATCTCATTCATGAGGGCTAAAAAACACAGATCCTGGGTACTTGGGTTGGCAAATAAAGACAAGAATACTAAGAAGCATTTTCCACCATTTACTCATTATCAAAAATATTTTTCAACTCTTCTTGCAAAACAAAAACAAAAAAAGTACAGACTGGACACGTACATCACATTTTTCTTCCTATGGCTTTAACCCCCCACCCTACCCACCCCACGAAAAAGACGGGGGGAGAAACAAACCAAAACCAACAAAAAGATCTGACCACATTCACAGAGAATGACACCACGGTACACTACAAAACAAAAGGAGGTGTCATTTGTGTCCAAAGGTTTTTGCTTATTTCTTAGGTGAGGAACCATCATTGTACATGCTTTGTGCCAAATCAAAAACACCTCACATTAGGTCAGAAAGCGTGCGGGGTTCACTGCATGAGTAAAAGCAAAGGTGGAAGCAGTAAAGTAACGCAAAAAATTCACATACTATTTAACATGCTGTCAAAACAGGAATTAGCTTTTAAATCAGAAGGTAATGTTTTGTGTTCTAGTCAGCCCATGTTTTGTTTGTGCTGTATCATCCAAAGAAGAGAAATTTCACGAAAGAAAATTACTTTTTTAGGCTGCCAACAGAGACCTAAATTCAAGACTAAATTCTTCTGCTTGTACTCTTCTTATTCAGGGATTACACTAATAAAAACTCTTTTGCATAAAGCTCAATTCTTACAAAGACACTCTCATTTTAACACTTCAACAACTTTGTGGGACTTTTCCCTTTTGGAGCCCTTTAGCCCACGTTGAAAAGCACTGACATTTGAAAGCTGCTTTCAACGAAAAATGAGATAGACTCTGGGTAGAGTGAGTTATTGTAGCTTGTTCTATCTAATAAACATCCAAAATACTTGACCTTAGATAGCAATGGATCCTCTGACCTAGCTGAGAGAAGATACCTGTCAGTGAAGAATTACCCTCAAGGGGATAGATCCCAGGCCTCTTACAGTACAAACTTCATCAGACACACAATGCCCCCGCCCCACTGGGGATAGCTGCTGTGGAAGTCTCCCTGTATCCCAGGCACTGAATGGTGCTACTAAAACTTGAGCCTTCTTTGCGTACAAGTAATTTTCTCACCCCAGCCAAAGAGTCAGGAACATGACCTGTAGAACTGTCAAGAAAAAAGGATGATGTTCTTAAAGGGGACTCACCATTCATATCTGACCAACTGAGCTTCCTGGTCCTCCTCTGGAGCCTGAGCTGCTCTTTGGGCAACAAGTTTTCTCAATGTATGTACTAATCTTGTTTTAGTTTTAAGCTGTTCTACAGAGTAGATAACCAATTCTCACACTCAGACATTATCTACCCCTTTCAGACTGTATTCTCCAGCTCAGGGCTGTATACCCTACAGGAATATCAGGTTATTTTCTAGTCATGGTGACAGTAACTAATCAATAATTATTTACACCATAATCTAGCACAGTTTAGATGGACTAACTAGATACCACTTCCTACATTTAAGCAGAAGCTTTGACTGAGCACAAAGCATGACCAAGTACAATGAGGTTAATATACTCCTTGCCAAAGATCTTGTGATAGAATCATTTACATCAGCAATTGATCTCAAACTATGAGGTGCTGTAAGAACTAAAAACAGTTTTAGGGTAACTCCTCCATTTTCTGCAACTATTTCCCAGACACTAATACACATAACATAGCAATGAAAAACACTTGATACAAGTGATCTAAACGCAGGAGCTCCAGCAAGTTAAACAGAACCATAGCTGCCTTAAAACTGTAGCAGTTCCCCTACTGATGGCAGGGAAAAGAAAGATTCAACAGTCATATCTCATGTCTATAGCTTCATCCAAACTTTTATCATCGTGTGTACTGGCAGCTAAAAACGTCGTTACTGGTGACCCTGTCACATTGATTACACTGGTGCTTGTGCTGGCATTGCGCACCGCAATGCTTGTCACATTAATGCCCAAAGTAAGCCTAGTCTGCTCCAAGGCCTTTTCTGGCACTGCAAATGCCTCCAGCTTCTTCTCCCCATTAGCCATGTATGAGTTTTGGCAGCCACGGCATATGCAGTCAAGGCAGGCTTTGCGGTTAGAATAGCAAGGGCAGCGTTGGCCACGGCATGTAAGAACACTTGGATTTTGGGTGGCACGACCGCACTTACACCCCTTCTTTTCTTGTGGCTTTTTGTACACAGTTTTTGTTGGGCTTCCCGGCATAACATTACTGCTAGGAACTTTCTCCTTTGCTTTGTCTTTTGTTTTCAGCACCCCCGGTTTGGCTTTCGGGTGAGATTTTTTAGGGGCATGTTCCAAATTCTTTTTCACGCTTTTGTTAGACAGGAGCACAGTTTTGCTTATTTTGGGAGTGGTGCCTCCATTGGGTACAGTTGCAATAGGCTGCAAAGACATTTTATTTTCCTGTTTCACTGTTACAGGAGCTGATGCTCCCAGTGTTGGGCCACATATGATGCTGGAAATGGGTAGAGGTTGAACTTTCTCACTGTCGCTTTCTGATCGAGACCGCTTTCTGTTTAACTTCACTACCTTGGGCGTCGCTGCTGTACAGGAGATCCCATGAGGAGAAGCGTCTGTGGACATGAAAATGTTATGGCTAAGAGGAGGGGGAGAAAGCTGCAGGAAAGGACCGTTAGTCATGTTTGCTTCCAAGTTGGGCTGCAAATTAGAGTCACAGACTTCAGTATTTGAAACTGTCTCTAAGCTCCGGAGAACTTCCTCAACGCTAAGGAGAAGTGAGCCCCCTGGTTTTATGTCTTCACTGAAACTGCAGATGTCGATGCCTGTCGTACACAAGTCACTACTGGAAACTGTATCGCACACAGGCTGCAGGCTGCTGGAGATGTCCTCAGTTTTTATATACTCTCCAGTACTACAGACATCAATTGTGTTTGCATGTTCAGGAGAAGGAATATTCACTCCAAGTTTATCTACCGAAAGCCCATTACAATTGGGCAACCCGTTGATAACAGAACCTCTAATATCGATGTTGTGTGTGCTTTCAGGGATCGATGTAAAACTAGCTGGAGGATCAGTTGTGAGTTCTGAGGTTGAAGGTACTGGGGAATGTGTCAAACACAAAGCCAAGGCTGTATCAGAAGATTTGTCTGTCTCTTCATGGAGTGGCGATCCATCTTTGAGCAAAGCCAAAAGATCTGCAGAACAATCAACTGCCTGGATAATATCTCGTGCCAGCGGAGTTTGCGTTATGTATTCGCAGAGTTTCTTATAGCAGTTCACTAAGATGCTTAGTTGCTTATTCTCCTCAAACTGTTCGTAGTCCTTGCACCAGCTACATGACGGTTTCATCATCATCTTCTTGCCTTTACACGTTTTGCAGACATAATGCTGACATGTGGAGTTCGTAGGAGCAATAGGGTCTTGTAGCAAATTTCCTAAGGAAGAAAGAGAGAGAAAGATTACAATGGACCCAAGGCATGTTTCTGGGATAGTATGGGATGAATTTTTTGTACTATCAAAGCAAAATATCCTGAAAACCTTCAGTAGGTCACAAGAGAACACAGCATCCAAGCGCTGTCCTGTAAAAATGTTCACAGCTGCCATTATCTGGTTTTAAAACAACATTAAAAAAAATAAGAAAACCATCACACCATCATCTGTTGTGCTTCTACAGCCTTTATAAACCTCTCAATTAAACCACTACCAAAGCCCTTGTCTCATTCAGCAGTTTCTGCCATTGCAACTTCTAAAACACACAAAATTTCTAGGAGTCTACCAAACTGCAGCAATAAACTCCCATGAAGAGCTACTGCAGAGATTGTAAAGAAATTAGTGAAAACAAATGGCAATGGAGCAGAGGGAAATTCTAAACGGAATGTGAAAATGATGAAATCCCAACCCCAGAAGGAAAGAAGACACAGCAGACTTTGGTTTACTTCTCATTTAGCTGGGACTAAAAATAGAGCCTAGCTTTGTGACAGTCATTGCAGTGACTACACCACAGAATTTCTAACTTTGCAAGCAAGAGCAGTTAAATGGATCCCATAAACTCTCACAAACACTGAATGAAGTACCTAGTAATATATTTGAATAAAAAAAGGGGGGGGGGGGGGGGGGGGGATGGGGGGGAAATATACTGTATTGCTCTGTAATTGCCTGTGCCAAACCAGAAGGTGCAACAAGGCAACTATTAACACATCCTGGGGAGTGGTAGCTCCTGGTCTTCCCATACACAGACCTTAGTCAAGAATCTAAGCCATCAGGTAGTAGAGCAAGACATTATACTAACCCTTGGCTGTAACAGCACTTACAATACAAAACTTGTCCCTCACTCTGTAGCTTTTCACAAAAAGTTCCTCATCCTTTCCCAACATTTTCACTGTTCAAACCACTTTTGAAAATTCAACTTTGTGCATTAGCACAGTATTTCTGTGACTCTTGCATTCCATAACCAAGCAGACAATCCCAATTTCCCTTTGAAATCTCAATTCCTTAGTACCTCTTTGGGAAAGGGCTACTCCAGGCCTCCATCTGAGCTGCCTTTCAGTAGAGTGGCTTGATGTAACTTGGTTTTTGATGACCTCAGCACTGACTCTTATTGCTCATTATGTTGTATTTTTTTGTAACAAGATGTGATGGTTTAGGAAGTTGGCCAGTGGCACCCAGCACACATCTACACAGAGTCAAACACTGGGAACTGCCATCATTGTGAACCTGGAACAGCGGCCACTGGAACAGTGCAGTATTTGAACAAGCCAACTGAAAGAAGTGCAGGAGGAGCACTGAAGAGGAGAGACTGTAGAACAGAGAAAGGTTCAAAGCACAGTTACAGCAACAGTTGATGGGAAATAGACTTCACAACCAGAGCCAAGGTATTTAGCTTTTCTTTGCTGATCTAGTGAGGAGGGGCTGACTGAGGAAGAGTGACTCCACAAGACCCCACCGTGAGAAGAAGTAACAAAACACTCTTCAAGTTAAGCAGTGAAGATTTCAAGCCAACAGGTGGAACATTAAGCCACATAATCCAACCTGCAGTGGAAATTTTAATTTCTTTTAAAAGTTCCCTTTAAATGACATTATGTAAGCAGCAACGCAGGCAAAGACTTCCACCATCGTCTTGTTAGAAAACTCCCTAACTCCCATGGGGGGAAAATGAAACAAACTTATTTAAATCACATTAGATAGTTTCCGAAGTCACATCCTTCAGCAGAAGCAGTTCATGAACAACTGTCCCTCCTGGATCTTTGAGTCTTTCTAGCAGGACAAGCAGAAAGCTATGCCCTGACCAGTGCAGGAGACAAACGCATCTAACGCTCATTCATTTAATGCTTTCAGACCTTAGAAGCCATCATACAACTACATGCATCCACAGCACTTCCACAACCAAAATCCAGGACCAGCATTACACCCAATGCAGCAGAGTTGGGTGCTCCTTGGACTGTCGTTAGCATCATCATAAGCAGCAAAAAGAGGCTAAGGATGAGTTATGATGATCAATGCTTCACACATTATGAAGCACTTCAGAGATGAGACCAAATAAACAATATACCATTTTAACTTTTAATTAGATGAAAAAAAAAGTCATCACCAACTGTGCATTTTATTTCTCCCAAAATAAAATTGGCTGGAACTGTTGAATGGGTATGAATGCTAAAAAAAGGATACTGAAAAATTTAGATTTCAAGAAGCTTTGAGGAAAAAAACCCAAACAGACGGAGAGACAAGATAAAACACTTCACATGCTCTCACTGAAGAACAGGGCGAGTTACTCTTGGTAAATGCCAGGCAACCTACATGAGAGAGACATCAGGAATGCCTGTGCTGTGGGAGTATTTTCAGCTTCAGTTCAAATCTCATTAAATATTCATTCTTCAGTTAGAGTCTCTCTTGTATGGATTCTGTGGCACCGATCACTCTCTTCAGCTTTAGTAATGTTAAGATAAAGAGTCAACCATGAGATGCAAATTCACAGAAAATTAAGTTTCATTATTTTAATACTCAGGGAATGATAATAAGCAGTAATTTCCCAGAAAGACACCACCCGAGTTGCTACTCAGAATCTTGAGGTACTAAGCTCTGTTACATTGCAAACTGCTGGACTGTAGGGGCTACCAAGCCATAACACTCATTTGGTGCTGCAAATTTCCAGATCTTCCCAGATGATGATTATAAACTCCACCATGAAAATAAAGCCAGGAAGGATTCTAAGATGTTACCTAGCCCATCCTTAAACTCCTATAATCACACTGAGTTAGACCAAAGATCCATCTAGCCCAGCGGGCCATACCACTAGCGGCCAAAAACAGATGCTTAGGGGAAAGAGTAAGAACAAGGCAAATAAACTTCTAATACCTGCCCAGTTTTTAACTAACCATTATTAGCTGAGATAATTCTCATGCAAGATGGGGTTTCCATGGACTCAGTATCCCTCAGATGCTCTCCTTAGGTTTGCCTCATCTTGTCTTTCCCTCTTTCAAATGTAATTGCAGCAGGCTTTGACCAGAAGGTCCTACTGTGCCGAATTTCTGGTTCTCATGTTGCATGAGGTTAACAGTGAATTCCTACTTCTCTCTTCAACACTACTCACGGTTTTACGGACATTTACCACATCAGCCTCAATGTTGTCTCTGTTCCAGACTACAGTAGTTCCCTACAATAGGTCACCCTTCTAAATCTTCCACAGTTCTTTTTTTTGAGATGGAGTACCACAACGTAAGATACAGGTGAACCACAGCCTTATACAGTGCCATAACAAAGTTCTCAATTTTATTCTCTATTCCAGTCCTGATTTTTAGCATTTGCTTTGCTTTTCAACTGATACTCAGTACTGAGCCGTTATTCTCATGGAGTTTTCCATCACAAGGGCAAGATCTCACTTTTGGCTGGCAGCCATAAATGCTACCCCTTCCTATACATTTACAGATGTAAATAGATCTACAAGATATAAAAATGGTAGGCTCTGAGAAGTTAATATTTTTCCATGTTTATAACTTAATATTTGTCTAAGCTAAATGTAATTTTACGTTTTATTGCGCACTCATTTATCAGTCCAAGATCCTTCCATAACTACCTAATGCAGGCCTTCACTTTTACTACCGTAAATAGGTGGTATTGCTAGACTTTGCCTCATCTTTTCTCACCCTCTTTTGCAAGGGCTTTATTAATACACCAAACGCAACATCATGTTCTTACAAAGTCTCCAGTAAAAGGCCTTCCCTAAACAACATCAACTCTTAACATCTACTTTCAGAAAAGTTTACTCAACATCTGCATTAATTTGAGCACTTACAATTACTAAGAAGCATCTAACAGAAGAAATACTTTTAATATATTATTTACAAAATATCACAGCTGTCCTGGAAAAGCTGCTTACAGGAGGGAGGTCATTGAAACCACAAGGAATACTTCCTATTGTGTTCCTTAATGAGCATTACTTCACAGCTGCAGGAAGAGGGGAAGCATCTGCAAATTGTATCTCACAGACCAAAGGGAGGAGAAGAATTGGCAATCAAAGCAATTGTTAGGTGTATCAATCCAGCAAATGTGCTCCAAATGGATGACATTCACTGAGAAGGAAGACTTGAAACAGATCACCTTCCATTCTCATCCTTAGCAAAGGCAGAAATACAATGCTCCCAAAAAGAGGGTAAACACAAATAACTAGCTTAGCACCCTTGGAAAAGCATGCTGAAACATAATATTTTGCTTTTTTTAAAAACTCAAACTCTTCATAATGATATAACTATTAAATATAAATTTGCAGAACTAGGAAAAAATGTGTTACAAGTAGAATTAAATGTATCACTGGGGTTAATCTGACATTTGTCTGCCAAAGAGCCTTTAATCCTCAACTGCATTCATATCACCAGAAATTGCCCTCATTTTATAGTGCACAGCAAGCAAGTGGAAAGCTCAGTAGTCCAGCCCTCTACTCCCTGCACTCTCTACCTGACTAAAGGGGCATATCTGCTCCATAATGCAAAAGCAGGTGCGCCATCCATGAAGAAGGAAGCTCACCTGCACCAGTTAATCTGTCAACATCAAACATTACAGTTACTGTGACTGCATTTTTAAACCAACATTACAAAAAAGCTTCTGTGAACTTTAGTCAGATGAAAGCAATTCTACAGCACTGTGAATCTAGCAAGTTTTAAAAATCAGGAAGCTATAATCAGTCCAATGCAGCACACAGACACTTCTATGTTACACTTAATATTCAGCAAACACCTCTGAAGTAACAAGAAGATGGAGATTTAATAGTTGCTCTGCTACACTTTCAGCATTTTCATTTCTGGATTAAACGTGATCTGATTGTTTCGACTAAAATAATTAGCAACAGGCAGTAAGCTCAGACAAATTACTACATTCAAGCTTCAGAGTTAACCACCTCCTGAAGGATGGGAGGTAGTTCTCATTTATGGACAGTACCACTTGG